GATCAGTTTTGAATTTGTTGTTGTTCTGCATGTAAACTTGTGGTATCGGGAAAACTAAAACTGATTTGACGGATATGTTTAATTCTCGTTATATATACAATAAACAAATTACAACATAGAAAGTGCTTTGTACGGATTTTTATTCACTCGTTGAAAAACTTTGGAACTCGTGAATAAAAATCCGTACGTCGCACTGTCTATGAAGTAATCTATATATATTATATAACCTTGCAAACATCAATTGCGTATGACTGGGTGCCTGGGAAAGGGATCACGATAGACCGCAACCAGCACTTGTTAACTAATTGCTTCGTATTCGAACATGCCTATTCCTGTCTCTTTCCTGCTTCCTTGTTGCACATGGCATCATTATTAAACGACAGACGTTTGCATTATACGTAGAAAATACGATGGGTTTGAACGTAAATAGAGAATGTACGTATATCCAAATGTAATTAGACATTAAAAAATGTCTAGTGGCCTCAGTAAAAGCTTGCTCCCTTATATTTTCTTTTTTAGACACTACGATATCCGGTCGTAACTTCCCACTGTCTTTTGTCCCCTACCTCTCAGGTTAATCGAATAACCAAAGAAGACCATCTTACTATTGAATTTTTCAGGATGTAAGGGAAAAAATAAAGGAAAAGTGGCATTTATGGCTAAGCAAGGACAAATCATGTCATTTCCCATTCACCAACTCCCTTCTTAGGAAACTCAGTGACTACATCAAGGCGTGCATCCGACTGACGTGGCGAATGGTTACCCAGGTTCCACCCATGCAACTCGAGTACCAGTCCTCCACGTTAAAAGATATTCACAAAAGTCTTGGATATCACAGCAGTCCAGACATGTGTTCAAGGCGCCCTACAAACGGACAAGCCTCAGACAAGGACCTGGAGATTGCCTGTTACCTATGGCCTGCCTTGCTAGATGGAGGAGGAAAACTTATTCGTGCTGGGGAAGTTCTTTGTAAGGTGAACGTGGAGAACACAGTGATCTAGAGACTGTCAACAAAATATATTTAGACGTGTGTATCATTCATCGCTCGGGTACATAAAGCTGTATGGCAATGTGTTTGATATAAAGCTTCTTTTGTTGTTTAATTTGTTTTAGCGAAACGGCGTACAATACGGCAATATATTAGGAAATAATCGCCACACAAATCTCCAACAAGATTAATAGGATAGTAATTTTAGTTAATTCTTAATCATGCCTATTGCTGCAGGAATCTTAGGAACACTGTAGTACCTCGAGACTGATGAGCGCCGAGGACATTTTGACAGTATGAACGAAGCGATTGTCTAAAAAGGGCACAAAACGAGCTAATATGACAGAATTCATCTAGGGCGATCATGGCCATGAAGTTACTCAGAAATAACTATTAATTAAGCAATCAAACGAAATATGACCATAACCAGCAATTGCAAACCCCGAATATGCCCAGATTCCTGCCTACAGAGTTAGGTTAGTGACCGTGATGGTCATAAATGTTTTTCCAGCCATCAACAAGTTGGTTGGGAAACAGCTATTTCAAGGAACAGATCCGTTGTCTTACCCCTGCAAGTGAGCTGAATGAAATGTATGTAGTAAATTTGTAGTAAATGTTTGTCCAATCTGCTTAGCAATTGCAAAGTTTAACATTATATTCTTTGTGCAATAGACCTTTTCACGGTTTCTGACACCATCTAGCTTGGGGGGTAAACACAACAACAATTACAGTAAATGTATGGGAAAAATTAAAAGTTCCATGCCCAATAAATTGAGAGTGTTTGACTTTCTTAGTATTTTATCAGTTACAAGGAAAAGATCACCAGGAGAAGGTTTTTTTGGGAACGAGTATGAAGAATATAGATTTTCTGCTGGGCGAGACATTGCACTTTTAATTTCTCATATAAAAGTCTAAAATTTCCCGCGAATTGCGACTCGGTTTTACAGACAAATGTTTAGAAAAATGCAAACCTTAATCATGGCTTTTCTAGCCAGGCTATTTCCCTCAAATGTGATTTGTAAACTCTTTTACCTTGTATTTTTAGTTTTTAATTCATAAATGTTTCAGAACTCAAATTTTCCGGGAGTTGTTAGACTTAAGATTCCCCATTTTCCCCAGACATTTACTGTAATTTTTGCCATATTTGCCCCCAAATAAGATAGCGTCAGAAACCGTGAAAAGGCGAGCAGAAGAATTTGCTGTTTCGTCTCGGAAACTTATCGACCTGATTTGAAAGCTTAGCCCGGCTTACGTTTTGTATCAAACTGAACTTTGCACGGCGTTTACTATAGGTATAGTCGCATGAATGCGAGTGTGATTAACGATTTATACTGCGCGTGATATTTGAAAATATCTCAAAATTGCACGAGCCTTCAGGCGAGTGTAATTTGGAAGAGTTTCCAAATATCGCGAGTAATGTAAATCCGTGATTGCGCAAGCTCTTATACGATTAATCATTTAATAATACACATGAAAAAATTACTCGATTCCAGTGCAAAAAGTGTAACACCAGTGCAAATTACACATGAAATTCTGCATTATGATTGACTGAAAGACAATAGGAACTTTTCTAAGAAAATGATATCAGGTAAAATGATGACGAAAATTTTGTGCTGAAACTTTGAAAAAAGTTTTCTCAAATGAGAGAAAATGGCTTCAAGAAAGATCTTCCGGCACTTCCTCCTTGCGAATTTTTTCATGTTTATATTATTAATAAGTAATCATACGGTTTTTCTTTTGGAATTAATTTGCACAAGTGCAAATTAACTCCAAATTAAACTCGAAACCGTATGATTACCTATACTAATTCGAACAATTACGAACGCGCGCGCATTAAGAGCCGATTCCTGTAAATACCGAGAATGAGATGACAGTCGCGAAATTTCGGATTTCTTCATATTCTGCCCAAATAACCTCTATAGTGAGTTGTTTTCGAAAATACCTTTCAAAGGTGCTGATGCGCTCTAGTTTTTTCGAAATCGAGGAAAGTCAGGAAATCGCCATTTTAGCCGCCTGCCGCCGCCGAAAATGGCCGAAAATTGTGCATTTTCTTTTCGCTAGAACAGATCAACGCGATGATATCTATCAATATACTTTCGATAGCTCATAGTGCATGTCTTGCTGTTTCTAAAGCA